AGTAGTAGTAGTAGTAGTAGTAGTAGTAGTAGTAGTAGTAGTGGTAGTAGTAGTGGTAGTAGTAGTAGTAGTGGTGGTAGTAGTAGTAGTAGTAGTAGTAGTGGTAGTGGTAGTGTTATCGGTAGTGTAGTATCAGGGGGCGGAGGGGGAGTAGCAGTAGCACTAGTACGAGTAGTCGTAGCAGTAGCAGTAGCCATAGCAGCAGTTGCAGCCGTAGCGCAGCAGCAGCAGCAGAAGTATTTTTGGCAGTAGCAGTCGTAGTAGTAGTAGTAGCAGTAGTAGGAGTAGAAGCAGTAGCACTAGAAGTACGAGTAGCACTAGTACTAGTACTAGTATGAGTACTAGCACTGGTACTAGTAGTAGTAGTAGTAGTAGTAGTAGTAGTAGTAGTAGTAGTAGTAGTAGTAGTAGTAGTAGCAGTAGTAGTAGTAGTAGTAGTAGTAGTAGTAGTAGTAGTAGCAGTCGTAGTAGTAGTCGTAGTAGTAGTAGTAGTAGCAGTAGTAGTCGTAGCAGTAGCAGTAGCAGTAGTAGTACGAGTAGTACTAGTAGTCGTGGCCGTAGTCGTAGTCCCCCCCCCCCACCCCCCCACCGTACTCGTAGCCGAGTCGTAGTCGTAGTCGCAGTAGTTAGTAGTAGTATAGTCAGTAGTAGTAGTGTAGTATGCGTAGTAAGTTAGTAGTAGTAGAAAAGTAGTAGCAGTAGTCCGTATTAGTACTAGGCTGTATAAGGAGTAAGTAGTAAGTATGGAGCAGGAAGGAGTAGTAGTAGTAGTAGTAGTAGTAAGTAGGTAGTATAGTAGGAGTAGTATAGTAGTGTAAATAATAGTGTAGTACGGTATAGTAACAGTAGTATAGTAGTGGTAGTAGTAGTAGTAGTTAGTAGTGTAGTAGTAGCAGTAGTGGTAGTAGCAGTCGTAGTAGTTGTAGTAGTAGTAGTAGTCGTAGTAGTAGTAGTAGTAGTAGTAGTAGTAGTAGTAGCAGTAGTAGTAGTTGTAGTTGTAGTTGTAGTTGTAGTAGTAGCAGTAGTAGTAGTAGTACTAGTAGCGGTCGGAATGGCAGTCGTGGCAGTAGTAGTAGTGGTAGTTGTAGTAGTTGTGGTAGTAGTAGCAATTGTAGTGGTAGGGGGGAAGAGGGGGAGTAGCAGTAGTAAGAGTAGTCGTAGTAGCAGCAGTAGCAGTAGCAGCAGCGCAGTGGCAGTAGCACAGTAGCAGAAGCAGAAGCAGTAGCAGTAGCAGTGGTAGTAGTAGTGGTAGTAGTAATAGTAGTAGTAGTAGTAGTAGTAGTAGTAGTAGTAGTAGTAGTAGTAGTAGTAGTAGTAGTAGTAGTAGTAGTGGTCGTGGTGGTCGTGGGGGTCGTAGAAGCATCCGTGGTAGCAGGAGCAGTAGTACTAGCAGTAGTAGTACTAGCAGTCGTGGTAGTACTACTAGTAGTCGTGGTAGTACTAGCAGTAGTAGTACTAGTAGTACGAGTAGTAGTAGTAGCAGTAGTAGTAGTAATAGTAGTAGTAGTAGTAGTAGTAGTAGCAGTAGGGGTGGTCGTACTTGTAGTAGTAAAATGGAAACCAGCTGTAGCCGTAGTAGTGGTAGTAGTAACCGTAGTAGGCGTAGACATCCGGGTAGTCGTAGCCGTAGTAGTAGTCGTAGTAGTAGTAGCAGTAGTAGTAGTAGTACGAGTAGTAGTAGAAGTGGTCGCCGTAGTAGCTGTAGTAGCAGTAGTCGCAGCCGTGGCCGTAGTCGTAGTATGTGCCGTATCTGTCGTAGCCGTAGCCGTTGTAGCCGTATGAGTATTCGTAGTAGCCGTGGTAGTCGTAGTCGTAGTCCTTGGTGTAGTCGTCGTAGAATGTGTGGTCGTAGTGTTAGTAGTAGTAGTAGTAGTAGTAGTAGTAGTAGTAGTAGTAGTAGTAGTAGTAGTAGTAGTAGTAGTAGTAGTAGCCGTAGAAATTGTAGTAGTAGTTGTTGTACCCGTAGTAGTAGCAGTAGTAGTAGTAGTAGTAGTAGTAGCCGTCGTCTTTGTGGTAGCCGTCGTAGTCGTAGTCGTCGTCGTAGTTAGTAGTAGTCGTAGTGGTAGTAGTAGTAGTAGTAGTAGGAGGAGGAGGAGGAGTAGGAGGAGTAGCAGTACTAGTAATAGTAGCGCTGGTAGTCGTAGTAGTCGTAGCCGTAGAAGTAGTAGTCGTAGTAGTAGTAGTAGTAGTAGTAGTAGTAGTAGTAGTAGTAGTAGTAGTAGTCGTAGTAGTCGTAGTCGTAGTAGTAGTAGTAGTAGTAGTAGTAGTAGTCGTAGTAGTCGTCGTCGTCGTCATCGTAGCAGTGGCAGTAGTAACCGTACTAAAATTTGCAGTAGCAGTTTTATAAACAGCAGTAGCAGTGGCAGTGGCAGTGGCAGTAGCAGTAGTAGTAGTAGTAGCAGCAGCAGTAGTAGGGCAGGGGCAGCAGCAGCCGGAGTAGTAGAATTAGTAGTAGTCGTAGAATTCGTACGAGAAGTAGTAGTAGTTGTAGCCGTCGCAGCCGCCGTAGTAGTAGCAGCAATAGTAGTAGCAGTGGTGGCGGTGGTAGTAGTAGTAGTAGTAGTAGTAGTAGTAGTAGTAGTAGTAGTAGTAGTAGCAATGGTAGTAGTAGTCGTCGTAATAGTAGTAGTAGTAGTAGTAGTAGTAGTAGTAGTAGTAGTAGTAGTAGTAGTAGTAGTAGTAGTAGTAGTAGTAGTTAGTAGTAGTAGTAGTAGTAGTAGTAGTAGTAGTAGTAGTAGTAGTAGTAGTAGTAGTAGTAGTAGTAGTAGTAGTAGCAGTAGTAGCAGTAGTAGTAGTAGGAGTAGCAGTAGTAGGAGTAGCAGTAGCAGTAGCAGTAGCAGTAGTAGTAGTAGTAGTAGTAGTAGTAGTAGTAGTCAGTAGTAAGTCAGTAGTAGTAGTAGTAGTAGTAGTAGTAGTAGTAGTAGTAGTAGTAGTAGTAGTAGTACAGTAGCAGTAGTAGTAGTAGTAGTAGTAGTAGTAGTAGTAGTAGTAGTAGTAGTAGTAGTAGTACTCGTCGTCGTCGCCTCGCAGTAAAAGTCGTCGCCGTAGTGGTAGTAGTAGCAGTACTAGTTATCGTAGTAGTCGCATTCGTAGTAATACTAGTTGTAGTAGTAGCAACAGGAGTAGGAGTAGCAGCCGCAGCAGCAGCACTAGCAGTAGTAGTACTAGTAGTAGTTGTTGTCATCGTCGTCGTCGTCGTCGTCCATGGAGACAGCGAAGTCGGATCTGTGCGCGCGCGGTCCACCGTTCTCAGGCCCCCAGGCCGTCGGAGAGGCCCACAGGGGCAAAGGAGGGTGGCAGAGTGGGGTGGCCTAAATGGGTGGCAACGCTGGTGGGGGGGGGCCTAGATGGGGGGTGACGAGAGGGGCCCTACAGCGGCCCAGTTGAGGGACCCTCTTGCAGCTCTTTTGGGTCACACCCCTTATGCCACCCGCCCGAAGGGGGGCGAAGGCTCGTGGGCCTTGCAGCGGCGTCGAGCTCTCGCGGGGGGGGGCGCTCTCTGCGGAGAAGGTACTGCTTCGGAGGCTTAAACCCCCGCGGAGGGGGGGCGGGGGATTGCCGACCCCCTTCGCCACCTCTCCCCTCTTCACTCCCTCCATTCCTCCCCCCCCCCCTTCCCTCGAGGAGCAAAAGGAGGAGCAGGAGGAGGCCGAGAAGGAGGATGGGAACAGAAGGAGCAGAAGCAGGAGGAGGACACGGGGGAGGGGAAGGGGAGGAGGAGTTGCAGCGGCGGTGTCAGCATCAGCAGGAGGAGCCCGAGCATCGGCAGCAGCAAAATTACGAGCATCAACAGGGGCAGACACGATGAGGAGGGGGAGGAAGAGGAGGAGGAGGAGGAGGAGGAGAATGAATAGAGAGGAGGAAGAGGAAGAGGAACAGGAAGCGGATAGTGATGATGTTGGTGATGATGGAGATGATGGTGATGATGATGATGATGATGGTGATGGTGATGGTGATGGTGATGGTGATGATGATGATGATGATGATGATGATGATGATGATGATGATGATGATGATGATGATGATGATGATGATGTTGCTGCTGATGATGCTGATGAGTATGATGATCCTGATAATGATTAGGATGATGTTAATGATGACGACGATGATGATGCTGATGCTGATGATGATGATGATGATGATGATGATGATGATGAGGATGATGATGATGATGATGGTAATGATGGTAATGATGGTAATGATGGTAATGATGCTGCTGTTGATGATGGTGATGGTGGTGGTGATGATGCTGCTGATGATGGTGAGAATGGTGGTGGTGATGGTGATGATGATGGTGATGGTGATGGTGATGGTGATGGTGATGGTGATGGTAATGGTGGTGATGATGATTATGAGGAGGAGGAGGAGGCGAAGAGGAAGAGGAGGGGGAGGCATGAGGAGGAGGAGGAGGAGGAGGAGGAGGAGAAGCAGCAGCAGCAGGAGGAGGAGGAAGAAGAGGATTGAGGAGGCGAGCGAGCGATCTCAGCGTCTGTCCACAGGATTGCTGCTACTTATCGCTGGGCCACTTGGGGGCCTGATGGGGATGGACCGGCTTATGTTCCCCATGAGCTGGCCCTGATGGTGGAGCCGTGGCCCCAATCCAGTTGCAGAGGATGGAGGAAGGATGCAGGGAGGAGGGGGAGTGAGAGAATTGGAGGGGCAGGAGCAGTCGGAGATCCCTGGATGGCTCTGGATTCCCAGGAAGGTCCAGGCAAGTCCAAGAGGGTCGATCCTCGTACCTCCGAGCAGGAGGAGGAGGGAGAGGGATCAGAAATGAATGGAAGGAGTTGGAGGAGGTGGGGAGGAAGAGGAGGAGGAGGAGGAGAAGGAGGAGGAGGAGGAGGAGGAGGAGGAGGAGGAGGAGCAGGAGGAGCAGGAGGAGGAGCAGGAGGAACCACGGCCAGGAACTTTCGGGCCAGCGTGTCGCGGCGCCGGGGCGGTGCGGCAAGCTCACTGCCCAGTCCCCGAGCGCCGTACGTCCGAGCTTCTCCGAGCATCCCGCCCCACGGAGCGGAGCGGCACGCCATCCGCTCGCCGGGCGCGGCGTGCCCCGAGGCCACCGCCCAGACGCGCGGAGAGCGGACGTTCCCGGCCGTGGCCGTGGGCTCTCCCCCTCTGCCCCCAGGGCGCCCCGCGGCAGCTGCTGGGCGTCGACGGCGGCGGCTCCATCGACCTCGCCGGCCACTGCGGCAGCGAGGCCGGGAGGGGGCAGGCAGTCGAGGGGGAAGGACACGGCGGGGAGAGGCTCGGGGCTCACGGGGGGGTGCATCGTCCCCCTGAGCCCATGGATCGCAGAGATGGGGGCCCGATCCCGACCCCGATGGCGCGTTCCCGCCCAGGAGCGTCTGGATTTGCTGGGGGGCGGGGTGCAATCGCCGATCCATCGGCGGTGTATCGCCGATTCCAGTTCGATGCTTCCCCCCCGCGGCTTCCCCTCATGGCCACGGCTGGACGCTGAGCGAAACCTTGTCAGGATGTTGTCCAGAAGGTTTCCGAGGATGGAGGAGCTTAGGCGCAAGAGGATGGGAACGACCCAGACCTCCGGGTGCGTCGAAAGAGACACGGCGGGCGTCTTTCCGCAGCCTTTCGGAGCCGTTTTCGGGCCCTGGGGTCGTCAAAAGACAGCGAGCGGAAGGATCCCACGGCGTGAAAATATCGTGACGCCGGAAGTATGAGAGGGAGGAGGGGGAGGGATGAGGACGAAGGGGCGAGGAGGAGGGAGAAGCGAGAAGGAGGAGGACGAGGAGTAGGAGCAGCAGCAGCAGCAAGAGGAGGAAGGGGGGGAGGAGGAGAAGGAGGAGAAGGAAGAGGAGGAGGAGGCGCACGATGAGGTAGAGGAGGAGGAAACGAGGGAGGATAATACAACAGACGGAGGAGGTGAGGAGGAGGAGGAGGGAGAGATGAGGAGAAGGAGGGGGAGGAGGAGGAAGGAGGGAAGAAGGAAGACGAGAAGAAGAAGGCGAGGAGGGAGCATGAGGAGCAGACAAGCAGACAATCACCATGTCACTGGGCGCAACAACGAATCGAATGCCGAATCACGCAGGGAGGGGAATGGGGAGGAGGTTGAGGAGGGCATGAGGCCAAGGATGAGGAGGAGAAGGGATGCCATAATCGTCTGCCTCCTGGCACCTTGTCATCATCCTCCTGTTTCTGGTTCTCCTCCTCACTGCCACTGCCCTCCACTCCCTTCTGGGCTCCAGGCTTCGAAATCCACCCCCAGATCTGTCCTGGGGGTGCGGTCGTAGCGCCCCACTGGGAGATGGATGACTAGAAACATATTCCTGGTTCGTCGTCGCCGTCGAGGCCGTCAGACCGCAGCCATTGACCCAGAGGAGGAGAAACATCTAGTTGTTAACCGTCCCTGCCCGACTTGCTCCCTAATAGCGCTTGGCGGTGGGGCTCTTATCTAGCTGCCTGCGGCAAGTCCCGCCACCCTGCCAGCCCAGCTTTCTCGGTGGTCTGTGCACGAGGGAGCACGGAGGTCCTAACGTGTGACAGCTTGTGTCGCTGGTCTCCGGAGAGCCGTTAACACGTAGCGCGTTGTTCGTAGGGCCGTCTTAGGGGATTTCTGTGAGCAAGGTGTTTGACGCCGTCACGTGCGACAACTCGGCTGTATTGGGTGCGTGGTCGAAGTCGTGAGCCCGTCAGGGGCGATGGTGACGATGGTGGTGAAGATAATGATGATGAGAATGATGGTAATGTTGATTTTGATGACGGTGGTTGTGATCATGAGGATGATGACGAGGACGGCCATGATTTTGTTACTGATGAGAGTGGTTGTGGTGGTGGTGACGATGATGGTGCGGTTGATGATGATGATGATGATGATGATGATGATGATGATGATGATGATGATGATGATGATGATGATGACGAGGATGTTGATCATGATCATAATAAGGATGTTGACGGTGATAGTGATGACGATGGTGATGGGGATGACGCTGATGATGATGATGATGATGCTGGTGTTGATGATGATTGAAGATGATGGCGTGGACGGTGATGACGATGTTGATTATGATTATGAGGAGGATGTTGATCAGGATCATAATGCGGATGGTCAGGGTGATGGTGATGGTGATAACGATGAGGATGATGGTGATGATGGCGATGACGGTGTTCATGGTGATGTCGGATGATGAAGCAGAAGTTGATGATGAATATGATGATGCGGAGGACGATTGTTACAATGAAATTGACGACGATGTTGGTGATGTTGAGGACGACGACGAGGATCATGATCAGGATGGTGATTATTATGATGTTGTTGACGATGGTGTGGATGATGATGATGATGACGGTGATGTTGTTTCTGATGATGATGGTGATGTTGATCACGATGATGATGGGGATGATGATGATGATGATGATGATGATGATGATGATGAGCAGTATGATGATGATGATGATGCGGATGAGGGTGACGGTGATGGTGATGATAAGTGTGATGATGATGGCGATGATCATGTTGATGACAATGACATTGACTATGTCGCTGATGATAATCACGATGGTGGTGATGGTGATGGTGGCGGTGCTGCTGCTGATGTAGACAATGAGGATGCGGATACGGATCAGGATAAGGATGATGTTGATGTGGGTGATGACGATGAGGAGGAGGAGGAGGATAATCAGGATGAGGATAAGGATGATGATGATACTGTTGTTGTTGATGGTGATGATTGTGGTGGTGATGGTGATGGTGATGATGGTGGTGGTGATGCTAATGATGATGCCGACGATGACGACGACGACGACGACGACGATTATGATGATGATGATGATGATGATGATGATGATGATGATGATGATGATGATGCTGACGATGATGATGATGGTGGTCATGGTGATGGGGAGGGTGAGAGTAAGGGTGAGGATAAGGGTGATGGTGATGGTGATGGTGATAATGACACTGATGCTGATGATGCTGATGATGATGATGATAATGATCATGGTTGTGTGGTGGTGGTGCTGCTGCTGATGGTGGTGGATGGTGATGGTGTTGGTAATGGCGATGGTGGAGGTGATGGTGATGGTGATGATGATGGTGATGGTGACGGTGATGGTGATGGTGATGGTGATGGTGATGGTGATGGTGATGATGCCGATGATGGCAGGAGGAGGAGGAGGAGAAGGAGGAGGAGGACGAGAAGGAGGAGGAGGAGGAGAGCCGTCACATGTGACACCTTTCGACTTCACTTTTTGATGAGCTGTCTTGGAGCCCTCTTGGATCATCTTGGGGCCCTCTTGAGGGCCTCTGGGGCCGTCTTGGGGCAGTCTTGGGGGCTTCTTGGGCTATTTTGGAGCGTCGGAAGTTCGAAAAGGCGAGAAGCCGAAAACCATTGAAGAGCTTGAGGGGCATCAATGGTGTTTGCCTCTTGGGCGCCTCTCTTGGGCCTCCTGGGGCCTGCTGGGGGCCTCTTGGAGCGGGGTGCGCGAACTCTTTGCATTTTATGAGGGGCTGGTACCTCTGGAGCGCGAGTCTGTCGCATTTTGCGAAGGCCTGTGGCCTCGGGAACGACACCCCGCCGCCTTTCACAAGGAGGTGCGGCCGCGGGAAGAGGGCCCAGGCATGCGGCCCAGTGCGAAGAGGGGGGGAGGGGGCCTCAGAAGGCTGCTGCAGAAGCCCTGCCAGACAGCACCTGCCATGCCAGGACGCCTCCGCGCGCCCTGGAGCACGGCGGCGGAGAGCGCTAACAAAACAGAGACCGCGGGGGGGGGGGGGCCCAGGGGGGGGGGGGCGCCGAGCCCGGGCCCGCCCGGCGTCGGCAGCCGCTCCGCCCCGAGACGGCCCCGCGCGCTCCTCGGAGAGCCGCGCTCTCGCCGCAGTGCTTGCTGCGATCCTTTGGTCAGGGCGGTCGCGCTCCGCTGTTACAGTCGGCCCTGATTTGGTAGGTCGACCCTCCCAAATCAGGAGTACCCTTGTGTCCTGTATCTCGCGACCCATGCTTCCTGCATTCCTGTGGCAATGTGGCCCTTGGAAGGGCCTCGTGTCCTCTCGCGCGCCCTGTCCAATCAAGTCCGACTGTAGGAGACGTCCGGCCGCCTCCAGCAATTCCGCCGCCACGCCAGCGCAGCATCCCGGGCGGCAGCTGCTCGAGCTACCCTTCTTCGCCCCTCCCCCCTCCTCCTCCTCCCTCCTCCTCCTCCTCCTCCTCCTCCTCCTCCTCCTCCTCCTCCTCCTCCTCCTCCTCCTCCTCCTCCTCCTCCTCCTCCTCCTCCTCCTCCTCCTCCTCCACCTCCTCCTCCTCCTCCCCCTCCCCTCCTCCTCTCCCTCCTCCTCCTCCTCCTCCCACCTCCTCCTCCTCCTCCTCCTCCTCCTCCTCCTCCTCCTCCTCCTCCTTCCCCTCCTCCTCCTCCTCCTCCTCATCCTCCTCCTCCTCCTCTTCCTCCTCCTCCTTGAGTGGTTGCGATGTGTCAGGGAAGTTGTACTATGCGGTTGATGACGAGAAGGTTCTCAAGAGCGCCTCTGGATGCAGAACGCCTTTGGACCCCCCAGGGGAATTTCGACAAAGCAGCTGCGATCGTTCCGATCACCGCCGGCTCAATTCATCTATGTGGTGCAGTCTATGTTATGCAGTCTGGGTGCAACATGTGCGGTGCCAACTATGTGGTGCTATGTGGCGCGATATACACGTGGTGCAATGTATGTGGCGGGTAGATTACGCAGTCCAAGTGCAATTGACGTGGTGCAGTCCAAAGTGTGCAGTCTATGTTGTGGTATCCACTTCGACTGTCTTGAAGCTGTCCTCTCCACTGCTCGTGCAAACATCCCACCCTCCCACCCGCAACTTGGTCGCAAGACATCTTGAGACAAGACCGTCACGGTAGGTACTGCGTGGCACTTGGCCACGACACCGATGCCGACGACGACAGCGACATCGACGACGACGGCGCCGCCGACAGCGACTGCGACGACACCGACGACGTCTCCAATGTTTTCGACGACGACAACGACGACGACGACACCGACGACGACGACAACGACGCCGACGACGACGACGAGACGACGACGACGTCGCCAACGGAGACGACGACGAGGGAGGAGAAAAAACGACGACGGCGACAACGACGACAACGACGATGGAGGAGGGAAGACGGCGACGACGCCAACGACGAAGAAGGAGGAAGGACGGCGACGCCGACGACGACAACGACGAGGGAGGAGGGAAGACGACGACGATGACAACGACG